CATGGATTTGAATAAACTATGTCCATCGGACCAATGGCTGACAGGGGGTGGGGGGTAGTCAGGGGGCAGGGCCTATCATCAGGTACTAAGGGGGTGGGGAGGGGTGATTGATGGTCTCCCCCCGCAAATGTCCCTGCCCTGGGTGGCTTCTGAGGGTGATTGATGCATTTGGTTGTCAGTAGGGTTCAGAGTGAATGCCCCCCTACCATCCCTCTAGGATCCCCCCTGTAGCAGACAGGCCTCAACCAGCTTCACAGCTGCCATGCAATGGGCTGTGGGGTGTTAACCCTGGGGCCTAATGATGGCTGCTAGCATATGAAGGAGCAGGGGACGCTGGGGGGTGGGTATTGGCTCCAGTTGTCCCCATCCCTCGGGCTATTTCTACCCCCTTATGTTTGTCCTGGCACTTTCAAGGACTGAACCTTTATGGTCTCTCAGATAGGGCTCAAGCATTGGGGGAAATCACCCTCTTCTCTATGGTGCTTTGGCTTGTGGAGGACTGATGCTCTATGGTCTTCATGGTGATGCTCAAGCCTGGGGGAGAGCTTAGAGGGGATCAACCCCTCTGGAGGTTCTAGGCAAGGCAAGAACCTATGGTACTGGAGGAGCCGGAGGGCTGAGCAGGGGGTTTGGGGATGGTGGGGGTCCTGGCTGGGACTCCTGAGTTCCTTCCCTGCTGTGGGCTGGGAGCTTGGACACATGGGTCCCCTCCCCACCCTGCCCAGAGAGACCAGCTCATTAGCAAAACAAAGTAAACAAAACATTTATTCCATCGGCAAACCTATGTCGGGGGGGGCGTGGATGGCCGGAGGTCCAGGATGTATCCCAGAGTTCCCTGAGAAGAGCAGCTCCCAGCGGTGGGCTCCCCTCATCCCCCGAGGCGGATGCTCTGGATGATCTGGAAGATGGCTGTGGGGGCAGAGCTTAGGAGCTCAGTTCTGCCCCACCACTTTAGGCATCACTGTTATCAATAAATTTCAGAGTTAACAGCCCCTAGAGCCCCCCCTTACTCTCAGGCCAATCTGCTTATCACTATTAAGAGGCTCCAGAGTAAATGCCCAGCAGAGACCCCCGCCAGCCCCTATCCCTACAGAGGGACAACAAGCTCATAACCCAGGTCCTTGTTAGGCTCCAGGGTAAACCATCACCTAAGCATTAGCTTCCAGGATCAACACCTGCCCCTCCCTTATTGGCTTTTAGACCTGAAGGGTCCAGAAAACACTGGTGTGCGTTTCAGAGTGAACACACACCAAGAATTGATGCGGTTTGGACCGAACACCCCCGCCACCCCAGCTGTTAGGTTCCAGTCAGTGTCCTGTAAGGAGCAGGTGTGGGAGTAAAGGCCCCCGCAGTCGTTAAGCTCCAGAGTGAATGATCCCAGTACCACTAGGCTCCCAATGTGCGGCACCCAGAGCGAGCGCCCCGCCCCCACCATTAGGATTCAGAGTGAACGTCGCCTTGGCGGAGCCCAGCACCCCCACGCACCGGGGTATGGGCGGGAGAGCCTGCCCCGCTGCTGGACGGGGGCTCCCCACTGGCTTAGCCCCCAGCCCCACCATTAGGTTCCAGGGTGAACGCGCCGTACCTGAGCCGCACACCACAAATACAAAGAGCGCCAGGAGCCAGGGCCCGACGGGAGCCTTCTCCTCCGGCGGGGCCTTCTGCGGGGAAGAGGGGTGTTCACGCTGGGACATAACCATGGCTACCCCCGTTCCTGATGGTGCTCTGCACTCCCGACCCGCAGCCCCTACATTGATACTGGACCCTTACGATGGCCGCCCCCCACCAGCCCCGCTGGGGCTCCGCATCCGCCCCCCCCCCCCCCGGGGGGACCGGGGGGCGGGGGGGGCCCTTGCTGTGCCGCTCGTTGGCTACTTTCATACGCTGCACCCCGGACATGACGGCCGCCCGCCCGTCAGCCGCGCATGCGTGGGTGTGGAAGGGGGGGCGTACGCCTGAAGAAGGTCGCGAGCCCTTCGTAGCGCATGCGCCGGGGCTGAAAGCGAGGCGCACGCAGAGCCGCGGCTCTTCATTCCGCCTGCGCAGAATAAGCTCCGGGGGGTGGAGTGTTTATATTTTTCACTGATGGAGAGGAGCACGTCACATATGCGACCAGCACATGTGCTGCAAGGCCGCCTTTTCGCTACAGCGCATGTGCAAATTCTCCCTCAATACGCATGCGCACGATTCTGAGGCACTGGTGACAGCCGCCATCCTGGTTTCCCTGCTTCCTGAAGCCTCCCTAGGGGCGGCCATCTTTCCCTGCCCTACCCAGCCTGCCCTGGCTTGTCACGTGATCCCAAACTTGTGGCACCCCGCCCCCAGGAGCCCAGATTTCCTGGACCCCAGCCCCCACCCCCTCCCCGGCATCCTGGCCCCCAAGCCTCCAGGGAGCCCAGGTTTCCTGGACCCCAGCCCCACCTGCCACCCTCCAGAGAACCCAGGTGTCCTCCCATCCCCCATGTCCAGCCCCTGAGTCAGCAGGATCCATCCCAGTTGCTACTGTTGTTTTCCAGCTTCCAGGAAATCCCCACCCAGACCCCACACAGGCTGCGGTCCGACCCTGCAACCTCGCCATGCCGCGAGCCAACATGCGCCCAGCTTTGGGGCCAGGCTGGGTGTAACAGCCCCTGCATGCGCCCAGCTCTGGGGGGGCTGGGCTGAGTGTAACAGGGATTAGATGCGCCTGGTTCTGGGGGGGCAGGCTGGGTAGAATAGGCCTCTTGAGTTAAAAACCCTGCAAAAGACCCTGAAAATCCCTCAAAAGTCTCACCCCCAGCCCCACACAGAAGCCCCGAGCCGAGCCCTCCCGGACTACCAAAGCCCTGGGGTCCCATTCGTTAAGCCTGGAGGGGTCGATATCAGGGCTCACTGCGAACTTCGCCCTGATGCCCCACCTGAGGCTGCGTGGGATGAATGTCCTCGTTAGCGACACCAAGGTAATGAAGCAGTGTCAAATTGTAGGGAAGGAGCGGGGTCACATCCAGTCCCACCCCCTGCTCCAAGTGGGACCAGCCCCAGCTTCATCCCCTTGCTGGGGAGAAAGGGCTTCCTAATATCCAGTCTCAACTTCCCTGGAGTCAGCCTGAGTCCACTGCTCCTTGTCTGTCACCTGAGAACAGCCCAGCTCCATCCTCTTTGGAGCCTCCCTGCAGGGAGTTGAAGGCTGGGTGTAATGGGGCCTGGATGCACCCAGCTTGGGGCAGGGGCGACCAACAGGCCCAGATGCACCTAGCTCTGCAGGGGGCCGAGCTGGGTGTAACAGGCCCTGGGTGCGCCCAGCTCTGGGGGGCCAGGTTGGGTATAACAGACCTGGTTGTGCCCAACACTGTTGAGGGGTGCCTGAGTATAGCAGGACTGGATGTGTCCTGCTCTGGGAGGCCTGACTGAGTGTAACGGGCCCAGGTGCGTCCAGCTATGGGGGGGTCAGGCTGGGTGTAACAGGCCTGGTTGCGCCCAGCTCTGGTGAGGGGCTGACGGAGTGTAACAGGCCCAGATGCTTCCAGCTCTGGGGGACCAGTCTGAGTGTAACAGTCCCAGATGTGCCCAGCTCTGGGGTGGCGCCTGGTGGTTTGGGGCCAGCCCGGGCCCCCGGCAGACAATGGTGGGGCGGGAAACCGATTCACATCCTGCCCCGACCCCCCGCCCCGCCCAGGGAAATGCTGAACAAAGCCGCTTCCTGCCTCACGGGGACCTGCCCGCCCGGACGCCTGGGTTCCCTCCAGCTCTGGGAGGCGCCGCCTGGGTTCTCTCCTGCTCTTGGGGGAGGGGGCAGGCGGGGGGGGGCCCAGACGCCTGGGTTCTCTGGGTTCAATTAGGGATGCCCAGTCCCCCCCTCCTTGCTTTCCCCTGCACAAGCAAGTGATGAGGAACATCTGGACAGATGTGAGGCCCACAAGCCCCACCCCCCTGCCCAGCCCTGCCAGTACCCCTCACTCCTGACCTGCAGCCCCCTGTAACTGGGACCAGTAAGGGGTGGTAACTAGAACTAGTATGCCCAGGGAACTGGGACCAGTAATGGTTGGAAACTAGAACTAGTATGTCTGGGGAACTAGGAGCCATAAGGGGTGGGAACTGGGAGCAGTATGGCCAGGGAACTGGAACCAGTAATGGCTGGGAATTGGAACTACTATGGCTGGAGAACTAGGAGCAGTGTGGCCAGGGGACTGGGAACCGTATGGGCTGGTAACTGGACCAATTAAGAGTTGAGACCTGGGACCAGGAATGGTTGAGAATTGGACCTAGTATGGTTCTGGAACTGGGAGCGGTAAGGGGTGGAAACTGGGACCGGTATGGGCTAGTAATTGGGCCAATTAAGGACTGGGAAATGAGACCAGTATGGCCAGGGAGCTGGGGCCAGTATCAACTGGTAACTGGGCCAATGAATGGTTGGGAACTGGGGCTCAGTAAGGAATGGAAACTGGGACCAGTCTGCTCCAGGACCTGGGACCAGCAACAGTTGTGAACTGCTAGTTATGTTGTTGCAACTGTGACCTGTTGGGGTTGTTAAATGGGACCAGTCTCACCTGGGAACTGGGACCAGTAAAGGCTTCCTAC